TATATAGGTTACTTGTGAAGAGTGGAGTTTCTGAGCATTTCCAAGAATATTACACTGTGTAGTTTCAAAAGTTGTTGACTTCTCTATAGGCCCACTTCTCAGTATAGACATGCTAAAGAGATTGAACAAGTCAGTATGGGTAAGAAGACCGCGACTAGGAAGAAACCTACTTCTCAGTATAGGTCGTGCCTTCAGACATATATAGGAATAACAAATATTCCAATTGGTGGTACACGTCTTATACCTATGCCGGTGGACATTTTTGGTTATGAATACATGGAAGCAATTGGTAGAGAAGATATGGATCAAGTTTTCAACATTTGACTTTAGGCCTCAGTGTTATCGATACATACATCAGGTATACTACGATCAACTTTGTTTAATTAAGCGAACAATTTAATTACTCATTTCAACGAATATAGTCTAATTTTAATGATGTTTTTATATCGTATGTACTCGATTTATTTATGGCTAACAAAGATACAAAAAAGTTATTCTTTTTACCATATAATACTGGCCACAGGTTAGATTTTCATCCTAACTTCATCTATTATAATTTTTCGTTTTTTGACATTGTGTAGAAACTTTCCATCTAACATTTATTTAATCTTACAGTGAATATTGGTTGTTGCTTGCGGTTAATCCTATAGCAGAAATTGTATACTATCTGGATTCGTTATACAATGATTGGACAACATACCCAAATTTGAAGAAGATGATTGATACGTAAGTGAAATTATTCTAAATATTTGTGTGTATATTTATTTATCTATGTGAGATTGTTCTAAATAGTCGTTTATATTTTATTATAGCGTTCTATAAGCTTTTCGGTCACAAAGAGGTATTCAAGTACCAAAGAGTAGAGCCAACAATATTACGTGGATCAGAGTGCAGGTATATTTTCACAATTTCGATTATATTAGTGATGATACTTGACAAAACAAGTTAAGGAGTATATCCTGATATATATCCGTATTTTCTTTCCATGTGTAGTTTCCTCGTCAATATAGTGGTATAGATTGCGGTTATTTCATATTGAGGTTTATGAAAGAAACGCTTCTTTTGGATCGAATAGAGATTCCATCCACGGTATGGATTTCTAACTTAGGAATTATTTTAATATTTATCATAAAATGACATAGTGTTTTAACTAAATCACATACTATATTATATTATTATGTAGTACTTTGACGAATTCAATTGTGCTCATTACTCAAAAGATCAATTGGATGAACTTATAGGAGAATGATGTCAATTCATTATGGAGTTGAGAATTTTATAAGGTATATTGTCTTTCTTTCATTGATGAGAATTTTGAGTATAACTTTCGAGTTTTGAGTATAAATTCGAATAAAATTTTGTTTTATCATGGTATGAATTTTGATCTTTTGGTTTTGTTTCAGGTTATAGGTGCAGATGTACAAGATAGAGCTAACAAGTTCATTGTTGTTGTTTTTTAGAAATTCTCGAAATTGTATGTAGATTAAACATCAATTTATAATTTTAGAATTTTCAAGTTGTATCATCAATTTTCAAGTTGTTGTTGTATATATCATCAATTATATATGTGTAGATTTTTTGTATATGCAAATTTGGTGCATTTATATTGGATTGAAACTACCAAATATGGTGCAAAATATGGTGAAAACCTGGTGCAAAATACGGTGAAAATTTATTGTAGATATTAGACAGCGCTTTCTGTAAGTGAAAATAAGTCTAATATTTAAAAAAAATTGTGAATATTAGACAGCGCTTAATGAGAAAGTGCTGTCTAAAGTGGAGAAAAAGCGCTGCCTAAAGTGGGGAAAAACGCTGCCTAAAATGGGAAAACGCTTCCTAAAGTGCGAAAAAGACAACACTTTTAAAGAAAAGCGCTGTCTAAAGAGATGCGTAAAACATAACCAAAAGTGTTCTCTAAAGAGAAAGCGCTGCTAAAGGGGGTACATATAGAAAGCGCTTCAAAAGAGAAAGTGCTGCTAAAGGGGTGCATAAGAAAGCGCTTTAAAAGTAAAAGCGCTGCCTAAAAGGGATATATAACAACGCTTTCACATTAATCTAAAGCGCTGCCTTTACCTATAGCAGCGCTGGTTTAGGGAGCGCTTTAAAGCGTTGTCTATTGTCAAAAAAAGCGTTGTCTATGTGCTTGTTGGGCATAATGTGTCTAAATTGTTGTCGGTTGACGCAATGCCTCGTTTTAAAGCCATCTAGAGGGAGGTGGTCGAGAAAACATCTGAAGTGAATATGGGTGTGACATATGTCAGTTTTACTTGGGTCTTATGGTGAGTTTCAATTGTACTTTTAAATATACAATAATGAGAGAAGTTGGATTTGTTCATGTGGTGACAATGAAAGACATTGTATCTTACACTTTGGAATTTGTGAATGTTTACAAGTTTTAAAAAAAACAGCTCGCGGTCGCGTACGATTGCGAAAAAATTATTATCACCGTTTTTACGTTAAAGAATAAATTGTGGTAAGTTCACACTGCGACGATCGCAATCAATATCACTATGTACCAACTGAAATTGTGAAAAACAAGAACATGACAACTTTAGAGGTTTAGAATATTTATAAAGACCCATAGACTTAATTAAAAACAAATTTCATAACTCCGTCGTCAAAAACATGGAAGCAGAGAGAATTTTTTCTCCCCCAATCGTGAAAAGACAATTATCTCACGTGTAGGGATGGCAACGGGTCGGGTCGGGTGCGGGTTTCACACTACCCACACTCGCACCCGAAATCATCACCCGAACCCGAACCCAAACCCGAAGGCTATTCGGGTGACAAAATCACACCCGCGCCCGCACCCTTTGGGTTCAGGTTTTTTCACCCAAACCCGAACCCGAAGGCTATTCGGGTGACAAAATCACACCCGCGTCCGCACCCGTTGGGTTCGGGTTTTTTCACCCAAACCCAAACCCGCACCAAAAAAAAAAAATACAATTAAAATAAAGTCTCTTTACATTGTCTTCAAGAAAATGCAATCACAATTATCTTAACATAGTCTTCAACATCTTAACATTACAATTAAAATTAAATTCTACAATCAAATTACAACTTTTCAACAACAACAAGCTAATATATTACAACTTTCTTGTGTAAGATTAGATGTTCCTTCCGGCTCCGGAGTTGTGTTCACTTGATCTATTTTACCTATTACAAAGAAAATATATTTCACATGTTAAGAAACACTAATAGATATTATCATCATAATTTTAAATTGTAATAACAAACATGTGAAACTTAAAACATATAAAACATGTAACTTAATTCTTGGTAATGCTGAACTTTTAAATTGTAATAAGAAGAATCCTTTAGACCACTTCTTGATACATACAGAGATGTAATAGCTTACAACACAAATAACATATCGCTTTTAAATTGTAATAATTTTAACATGCCATATTCTTGATAATTTATCATGTTTGCAACTGGAATAAAACTGCCTATAATAATGTTTGTCTACTAACTTTCAGCATGCTTGCATGCGCGTTAAATATCATGTTTTTGAACTGTCTAGAAACATAAGCACAACACTAAAAGAACTGTCTAATATCAAAAGCATCAGTGCAAATTAGTCGGGGCAACAATGGTGGAAGATAGAAACAATAATACTCACCATGTTAACATATAGAAACAACAACTTCTAATCTTCAAAATGGTAACCCAAACAACCTTCCATCAACTCAGCTGTATTAACAAATAAATTGATGTTAAATAAAACAATAAAGCTTAAAACTTCTACACCAAATGAAGTACAAAATACCTTCATCGTCTGACTCCATTTCATTCAACACAGTAGCAATTTCTTCTGCAACTCTAAAAATTCCTATATATATTATATAACAAGAAAAATTAGTAATATATTATTTGCCAATGACATACCAAAGTAGTAATACATTATATAACAAAAAAATTAAGGTAGAAAGTAAAAATAATTTGACAATGACATACCGTTATTCTCAGCAGCCCATAGCCAACTCCTAGCACACATCAAAGCCTCTACGGTAGTCCAGTTAAGTCGGCTACGATGAGGACTCAATATTCTACCACTATTACTGAAGGCCGATTCAGAAGCTACTGTCACTACAACATTTGTTGTCTCTAGCAACACTTTTTTAGGTAACATGTAGAAATTGTTGCCTTAAATTCATATAGGCAACGATTTACGATTGTTGTCAAATATATGTTTGCAACCCTTGATAATCGTCGCCTAAAATACTTTTGGGGATGTTTATGGAGCGATACTCTTTTATTTTTTTGCCAACGGTTGTTAATTGTGCCCTTAACTGCTTTTGGGGACGATTTTAGAGCGTTAAAATATTATTTCTTTAGAAATGTTTGACAATTGTCCCCTAAAATATTTTTGGGGACATTTTTAGATTGTTACATTAGTTCTAATAAAAGGCTACATTTCTGAAATGTTGTATAAATTTTTTTAGAATTATCAAATTTTTGGTGGCAATCTTCCCTCCAAAACTTATACACTAAAAAACAAATATTTTTCTCTAAACATTATTAATATATATAAAAAAAAATATTTTTCTAACACAGAAATTTAAAATCCTAATAAAATAAACATATAAAAAGAGCAAAGAGGTTACAGTAGAAACAAATGGGAGGAACCACCCATATCTAATATATCTAATATATATATATATATATATATATATATATATATATATATATATATATATATATAGACACATTCCACTCTCTTTATAAAAATAAAAAGGAAAAAACTTCCTATTAAAAATAAAAACAAAAGAAGACCAAACTTTAAGAAATAGAACACGTTAACCCAAACCTCGTATTCTTTCTTTCTCATTTTTTTAGATCTTCTGCTAACCTTCCTCCTCCATATCTCTTCATTTTTCTTAACTTAACAAATCTCCCATAAATTCAAATTAAACAAACAAGCCATCGAAAGGTGAAAGTATTGTACCTGAAACCCAGAATCGTTGGTGGGTTGCGGGTTGTTGTTACACTGGATCTAGATGGAGGGGTTTGCGATCGTGTTGGTTCTGTGGCAGAAGGTATGGACTGTGGATCTCGGAGTGCGCCTTGGTGGTTTACTTTAGTGACGGTTCTCGGTGCTACAGGGTATTTGTCAGCATCGCGTGTTGTTTCTGGTGCATTGTGGACTCGCGGCTGCGATCGGAGCGGAAGGCTGGAGTCTCAAGTCTGCGCGATTTGGAGTGTGGTAAGGATGGAAGAGGAAACTTATTCTTCCCACTTCTTTTAGACTTCACATTGTTTTCTGCTACGGTTATGATATTATTGTCGTCTAGAATTCACTGCTGGGTTAAAGGTGATGAGTTTGTGTGAGTTTTGGTTTTTGTGTGTATAAGCGCTACTAATATTTTCATTGTTACAATAAGATAGAGTTAGGTCAAATTTTAAGAGTTGCAAAGAGGAAAATTCAAGAGTCGATGATCTCCTTAGAACTTGTAAGTACTTAAAGTACTTGCAAGTTACTTCTCTTGACTGAATATACACGAGAAGTGTTTCCTCTTTACTAGAGTAGTGAAAATTAAGGCTATATGATACTTGTGGTTGGACTACAAAGATACGAAATATTCTTCATATATATTTCTTCTTAATATATATACTCAATCTTTTTTTCCAAATCGTATTGCAGGAGAGATGATTGTAGGTCCCATAAAAGCACTTTTTATGGATGAAATATCAACTGGCTTAGACAGCTCCACTACTTTTCAAATAGTTACATGTCTCCAGCAATTGGTGCACATCAATGATGCAACAGCAGTGCTTTCACTCCTCCAACCAGCACCAGAAACCTTTGAGTTGTTTGATGATCTTATATTGATGGCAGAGGGGAAGATAGTATACCATGGCCCCTGCAGTCAAGCATTCCAGTTCTTTAAGGATTGCGGTTTCTGGTGCCCTGAAAGAAAAGGAGTGGCAGACTTTCTTCAAGAGGTAGGAATAGAAACTGTGTCCCTTACCATTGCGCCAAAGTTCAAGTGATTTTACTCATAGTTTCACGAATTACAAATTTCATGCGCGCGCAGGTAACCTCTAAGAAGGATCAAAGGCAATACTGGTACCGCACAGATATTCCTTACAGTTATGTTTCAGTGGATGAGTTCTCTCAAATTTTCAAAACAAGCTACTAGGGAAGAATGTTAGATGATGAGCTCTCACAACCATATGATAAATCTCAATCCCATGAAAGTTCTTTATCATATAGCAAGTACTCCTTAGGAAAATGGGATTTGTTTGAAGCTTGTATGAAGAGGGAGATTCTTCTCATGAAACGAAACTCGTTTATCTATATATTCAAAACTGTGCAGGTTACTATCAAATTCAAGTTCAATTCAACTCAGCTAAGTCGTACTTGAACATATAAAATCTAACTTGCTTCTTTTTTCGCTTGTTTTGCAGCTTACAATCACTGCAATCATAACAATGACAGTCTTTTTGCGCACACAACTTGACGTGGACTTGTTAGGATCAAACTATTTATTAGGTTCACTGTACTATACACTTGTACGCCTAATGACAAATTGAGTTGCCGAGTTGATAATGACTATTACTAGACTACCCGTTGTTTATAAGCAGAAAGCATTCTATCTCTATCCAGCTTGGGCTTACTGTCTTCCAGCTGCCATACTAAAGATTCCATTTTCAGTCCTTGATTCTCTTGTTTGGACATCAATAACATATTATGTTATAGGCTACAACCCAGAAATAACAAGGTCTGTAACTCGTGTATATGTAAGTATAGTCAAACTTTTTCTCTTTTCTTTTGCAAGTTTTTTCTTATATATTTATTATTGAATCAGGTTCCTCCTCCAGTTCCTTTTGCTTATCGCTCTGCACATGTCATCAACCTCTATGTGTCGTTCCCTTGCTGCCGTTTTTAAAACTGATGTTGCAGCTACAACTGTTGGTTCTTTGGTCTTAGTACTCATGTTCTTGTTTGGAGGCTTTATTCTTCCTCGACGTAAGCCGCTTTATATCGTCTCAGTTATAACATGTGGTAGTACTAAATTACTAATTACCAAGTTACTCATCATGGAGTTTATTCTCTACAGCATCATTACCAAAGTGGTTGAGGTGGGGTTTTTGGCTTTCTCCCATGTCATATGGGGAAATAGGAATAACACTCAATGAATTTCTTGCTCCTCGCTGGAAAAAGGTATCTTCTAAGATAATTTATTTGGTTTCATGATAGGTCACAATATACGTTTATATGGATCTAATTCATATACATTGTCAGGATGATGATTTTTTATATTGTCAATGAATCATAATCGGAAGATCATTACAAATGTTTGACGTTTATTCTAAATACTACTGAAGTCACGCATATAACTGGTTGTAATTTGTTTACAGTGTAAAACTTTTTACACAGACGGTGTATCAACATGAATCTCCAGTTATATATTTATATTTACTATCGTTATTTTCATCATCATTATTTTTCAGATTCAAGAGGGAAACATCACCGTTGGAAGAGAGGTTCTCAAGAGTCGTGGTTTAGACTTTGATAGCAACTTTTTCTGGATATCAATTGCAGCATTACTTGGTTTCGCAGTAGTATTTGATATCCTATTTGTAGTAGCATTAACTTACTTAAAAGGTGAGTCCTATCCATGATATTACAAGGAAAAATATCAAACAATTGTTTTTATTTTGCTCAATCCACTAATTTGATGGGAAATGCATTCAGAGCCAAAGCAATCTCGAGCTTTAGTTTCGAAAAAGAGGCTGCCTCAACTAAAAGGAGGAGAAAGAAGCAATGAAGTGGAATTAAAAAATAAGTCAGTAGCAGTTGATATTACCCACACATCGAAGGAAGCTCAAAGCACAGGTAGAAAAGAGATACTTTATGGCAACTTATTTCACAGATGAATTCTTTCTTTCAAACATATAGTAACGACTTTTGGTATCTTTCGCATGGTTGGTTATGCAGGGAAAATGGTCTTGCCCTTTTTGCCACTGTCAATAGCATTTAAGGATGTCCAGTATTTTGTTGACACTCCTCCGGTAAATTTTATAATCACGTTATTGTTGTAATATGATTATGTAAATTGTTGACAAGGTTGTCAATTAAGAAATTTACTCTTCTTCTGATGGTTCAAATGAGAAAAATTTACAATTGCTCTGCGATATCACGGGATCATTTAGGCCAGGAATCCTTACTGCTTTGATGAGAGTCAGTGGAGAAGGAAAGACAACACTCATGGACGTGCTTTCAGGAAGAAAAGCTGGAGGTATCATTGAAGGAGATATAAGAATTGGAGGGCACCCTAAAGTTCAAAAGACATTTGCAAGAGTTTCAGGTTACTGTGAGCAGAACGACATACATTCTCCATATATAACATTTGAAGAATCTGTTCGATACTCAGCTTGGTTGCGGTTGCCAAGCGAGATTGATTCAGCTACAAAAGGGGTATGGGATTTGAACCGTGCTTTTTCTGTCATTTTCACATAAAAGATGCTTTTTGTAACTTTATGTGTGTATTTGTTCTGCAGAAATTTGTTGAAGAAGTCCTTGAAACAATTGAACTTGATGATATAAAGGATAACTTAGTTGGTATCGCTGGTCAAAGTGGCTTATCTACCGAGCAACGTAAAAGGCTAACTATAGCAGTAGAGCTTGTATCCAATCCTTCAATAATTTTTATGGATGAACCTACATCTGGTTTGGATGCCCGAGCTACTGCTGTAGTTATGCGTGCAGTGAAGAATGCTGTTGGCACTGGTAGGACCACAGTTTGCACCATACATCAGCCAAGCATCGATATATTTGAAACTTTTGATGAGGTAGTCAATAGTACCTTCTGCTGTATATTTGTGTACGGATAACATACGGATCAACAAATAAAAATGAGTTTTTTTCATGCAGTTGATTCTAATGAAATCTGGAGGCAAGATCATTTATAATGGAATGCTAGGCCATCATTCAAATAGACTGATTGAATATTTTCAGGTATGCTCAGACCCGAAGCGAAGTACTCAGTGTTTTAGATTCTGGACAGATCCATGTGATTATCTTATTTGCTAAAGTTCTTTTCTTGCAATGTACATTCACAAAAAACTGTTCCTTAGTCATCACTCCTTTGCCTGAATTGTTGAAATTTATATCTAATTGACTTGACTGTCCATCAGAGTATACCGGGAGTTCCAAAGATCAAGGACAATTATAATCCTGCAACCTGGATGTTGGAAGCTACTTCTGCATCTGTAGAGTATATCTAATATTTTTTTTTTGTAATTTATGCTAGTCCCAACTTCAAGAAATGGTTGAAAAGGAGGAAAGTGATACAGAAGCTTTTAAAACATAACTAAAACTTCCTTAAAGAGAAAGGCAGAGATTAATTCTTTGAAACAAGCCCACAGTGAAGAGGTCTCTACATTAAGGGACGAGTTTCAAGATAAGATTGATAGATTGCAAAATGCTTTTAAGATCGTAATACAACAATGCAATCCTCAAATTAATATAGAGTCAATTAAAGATTTGTTAGGATTATCTCATGGAGATGCTAATAGTTCCCCAAAGGATATAAGACCGCAAATGCATTCATCTACATCAACTCATGCTCCATGTCATGGAAAGGTAACCATATATACCAATATTATTGATTTATATTTTTCTAATTATGTTATAGTATCAAAATGGTTGTTAATGTATGCAAAAATTTGCAAGTAGTGACAACACCTAGAATAAAGTAAGTGGTTGAAATTGTTTAAGTAGTGACAACACCTAGAAGTGGCTAAAACTGTTTTATTTGTGCGAGCTTTCATTGATATTTCACAAACATACTTGCCTGGGATAAGATTATGGGACCCCCTTGTTTGATAACACTCACTATGTATGCTGTAAATTTATCCATATGATACTGAACACCAAAGAAGATACAACAAGTAAGAGTGTTCATCAGAGTTCATTTACTCCAAAAAATAAACATAAAAGGATAGCACAAGTTATACATACATACATACAGTTAAAGGCTATTGTAAGTCCTGAATAGTGAGCCAAAAACAGAATGGTTTTCATAATTGATTTATTTGCTAGTAAGCTCATGTCACCTATTACAGTTTAGAACGAAAATTCACATCCATTAAAAACCTTCATAATTAATTCACATCCATGAGATGTGAAGAATATAAACAATGTGTTTTTCTCATTGGTTTAGTTTTTATTTGTGCGAGGTTTAATTCTTGTTGATGTCTTAATTGTCCTTTGGACCAAAAATACTTATGGTTAATGTGTTTTATTTTATTTTCTTATGCAGCAATGTATCAATGAAGATGTTGAAAAGGACGATATAAATGATGAAATTCAAGAGGACGACATAAATGATAAAATTCAAGACGACGACCTAAATGATAAAATTCAAGAGGACGACGTAGATGACGAATTTCAAGAGGACGACATAGATCTAGATGATGAATTTCAAGAGGAGGATATAGATGGTGAATTTCAAGAGGACGACGTAGATGAAGAATTTATGGAGGATGACATATCTAACGAATTTCAAGAGGACGATCTGGATGCTTTACTCCTAGAAGACAAACTTGAATGAGTTGGATGATGTCTTTTTTTTGGCTTGTAGTTGAAAGCATTAAACTTGAAATATGATTTTTGTTCTTTTGCTGAACTATGTTTTTAGTTATTTTACTAGGGTCATACTTCAAAGTATTAAAAGTAATATTGTTACGTTAGGCATTTTGTGTACTCTATATACTATATCTTGAATTAAAGTTTGAACTCGATTTTATTATATTACAACTTTTATGGATGTATGGTTTAAGTTATATAATCAATATTATTTTTGAAGCCAATTATTATTGACTATATTATTTTGATAATAATTGCAAAATTGTATATTTTATGTGGACAATATAAAACAACAACCTATAAACTATGGCTACACTTCAAAAACGATCTTCCTGATTCAGGTTTAAGGCAACGATTGTTAATTGTAGCCGAATTTGGCAACACAACGCTTAAAAAACGTTGTCTCAGAGGCCGTAAATAATCGTCCCCTATTCCTTTACTATAGGCGACGTTTTTCAAAAGCGTTCCCAAAAAACATAAAAAAACGTCGCCTCAAACAATAGGCAACGCTCGCACAGGAGACGCCTAGAAAACGTCCCCTATTGTTTTAGGCAACGATTTTCAGAGTTCTGGCAACGTTTTCCAATTGTTGCTGGAGAGCATAAATGTTGTAGTGTGTAGAGATAGGAATAGCTAACACATCTCTTGCAATTGCTTGAAGTGTTGGATACACAACTCCATTTACCTTCCACCAATTCAAAATGTCAAATTCCGGAGTATTTTTTATAACTGGCTCTTTCAAATAATCATCTAACTCATACTTAACACTTGAACTTGAGTCTTCGGCAACGACAATTGTCTCAACGTATGCATCAAATTCAGCCTCGTCATCAATAATAGCAGTTGTACCAATGGATGGAGCAGTAGGTTGTGCATCTCTAAGTTTAATCTGTTGATAATCATTGAGCAAATCATAACACATGTCTTTGATTCTACTAACTTGTGCACTTGATTCTTCTCCATACAACTTAGGAAACCAGAAATTAAGTACAACCATCTTCTTCCTAGGATCCAAAACTGCAGCAACTCCCATCATATCATGAACACCACTCCAATAATTTTGAAATTTTTCCATCATTCTTGTGGCCATCATCTCAATAATTGAATTGGAGGACTTCTTCCATTCCTCTATTGCCAACTTAATCTTACAAATCTTAGGAAATTACAAGTTGGCAGTTGGATATTTTGTACCAGAAATCAACTCAGTTACTTCATTAAATAATTTTAAGCACCCACAAACATCTTTAGCAAATTGCCATTGTGAATTAGTTGGAAGACAAGTGTACAAAGACTCACGTTGCTTCAACCGAATAAATACATCCTTGTACTCTATGGCAATATCAAGCATCTTATATGTGCTATTCCATCTTGTTGGACAATCTAGAGCTAACTTTCTAGTGCAAATAATTCTCAATTGTCTAGCGGTATCTTCAAATTTTTCATACCTTTTAGGTGTAGCACTCCAAAATCCTACACTATCCAGAATATTTTCTATGACATCCTTAATCACTTGTAGCCCCTCCTGAACAATTAAATTTAGGATGTGCGCACAACAACGCATATGTAACAAAGACCCATCCCTTATTAAACATTCCAACGACAACTTATCCTTAATTTTCCTAATCATTGAGTCATTTGTGCTACAATTATCTAAAGTAATCGTAGAAAGCTTTGAATCAATGTTCCAGTCCATTAAACAATTAACAAGTGCTTCAGCAAGTCTTTCACTAGTGTGAGGGGCTGAAACATAAATGAACCTAACATAATATTTACAAAAAACAAGTCTTTCACTTATTGTCATTAAGAACAAAAAAAAAGATACAATTAAGTTATAAAATATAAACATTGTTACCTCAAGATTCAACTCTGTAAAGTCCACGAGCCATCAATATAGTGAGCCGTAACCGTCATATACCCTTTTTTTTGGTTGCTTGAAGTCCACATATCTGTGGTAATTGCCACTCTCCCTTCATGGTTATCTAACATCTTCATAGCACATTTTTTCTCAAAATCATAAACTTTCATTACCTCCTTCTTAATTGTGTTTCGAGTAGGAACTTTAAAAAATGGTTGGAGAGAAACATAGACTCTTCTAAGACCAATGTGATCCACAATTGATAGTGGATAATCATGCATAATAATAGCTTCAGCAATCAACTTCTTCACATGTTCTGGATCATAAGTTCCAATTCCCAACTCTTGCTTTCCTTCTGAGATAGTCGGTAGGAGAAATGGTTGTCCTTTGTCATGGTTTCTAGTCTTGATCTTTTTTTTAATACAACTCAAGAGATGTCCTTTCAAGTGATTTGTTCCATTCTTTGAAGTGCCACTAAGTTGTTTTTTACACCAGATGCATTCAGCCTTATCTTTTCCATTCACTTTCATCTTTTTAAATTCTTGCCACACATTACTTCTAAGTTTCTTTGATGCAGGTTCTAAAATTGCATCAATTTCTTCTTGTTTCCCAATATCAGGTTCAGGTGTCGGATTCGGATTAGAAGATACCTCCTGAGTTGGACATGTACTTTCTTGTGTAGGATTAGATGCTCCTTTTGGTTCCGAGGTTGTGTTCACTTGATCCATTTTACCTACTACAAACAACAAGAAATTTCATAAACAATTGTATAAAAGAAAATGAGACTTTAAGAAGGCACGAAAAAACATACCACCACAAGATTCATAATCGCAAACACCTTAACATTCATACAAAGTTTAAAAAAGAAATTAAAATGATAAAAACTATTATTGATAAAAGCTATTATTAAAAGTAATGTTTTTACACGAGACAACATGGTTTTGTTTCAAATATGATGTTATATCTCTCTTTTTCAACAGTCAAAGATTCACAGTCCAGCAGCAATGGGCTATGATCCGAGTGCGACGCGAGGAGATTCCATAGCTTTGCATTTGAAAACCGACTACCGCTTGACAGAATCCATTACAATCGCTTACCGCTTGACAGAAACCTGGTGCCATCTCAATTGCTAGACAACTTAAACTACCACTGGCCAGTTCACTATTGCTTGTATAACTCAGATATATTTTACATCAACAAAACATTAATAACTTCTCAAAACCTCAACTGCCACACGTTCTATGTTTCACATGTTCAACTGATTAATAGTAATCAATAACTGCACATATATTACATGGTTGGCTTTAACGAAAACAACTCAGCACATATGTAACTGCTTGCAACTTATATTGACTTCCATGTTTGTATTCATTGGTACAACAACTCAAAGCTTTATATTGACTTCCATCATAATTTCAATGCAGCTTATATTCAGAACTTGTCCCACAAAACATGGAGGAAACTAATATTAAAAAACAATCATAAATACACCGTAGTTATTATCAAACTATTGGTCAACATTTCGAAACTGTTTTAATTGGAATTGGACTAATCACATTCCATTATGATTTGTATTGGGTTGATCCAAATACAATTCGGTTCATATGTCTGACTTGACGCGAGATTGAAACATACTTTTAGTTTATGTGAACAGACATAGCATAACTTTTATACTATCAAAGTAAAGTACGCAAGTAGTGTGTACTTTGGTCATGGTTAAGTTTATATAAAGTGAGAAAACTTGGTTCAAAGTGCAATGTACTTATGCATTATCATTGATAGATAGATAAACTTTTGGTTTGATTTTGTTAAAATAAAAAGGTAATAGTGATATAGATGAAGATCTTTCTCACGTAACTAAATTGTATTATTCATTTCACATCAAAATTTTGAAGTCAACAATCGTTTCTCTATAATAATTTCAGTTTCAAAAAGCCTAATGTTACTTCTATACAATTTCTAATCATAGCTTCAAATATATCGATAACATTATATGGATTTCACTCTACTATTAAGTTTAGTTTCAAATCATAGGTCATTATGAACATCAAACTTCAGTAAAATTATCTGGACATTATTTTTCGATAAATCATCGAAACAAATTGCATCGGTGAATTAACATATCAACTTGCATTCATATAAATGATGATAGAGATACATACAAGGATCCTCAAAATCTCTGATGAGTCATTTATAAAAAGGTTCATACCTCTCTGTGAAGCTCCAATAGATGCAGTGTGCAATTTCAACTTTTTGAGAAAGTCTAGCTTCGGCACCTCCAATAGACCTTGCAATGTTTGCTTTGTTATGATGTTTTCAATTCCTATGTACACCAATTCTATAAAAGCGATTATATAGAAGAGAAAATTAATCAAATTCTATACAAAATTATTGAATAGGAAACATAACAGTTATGAAATTGATTGAAGAACTTCAATTTACTTGAATATACCACATTCATCACATTGCTTTGAAATCTGAAACATTGAACTAATATTCAATACTAAAATTCATAATAACATTAACAACATCGTCAATAACATAGTTGAACAAATGGAAGAACAAAAAATCAAACTCGGAATTCAAAACACAGTACCTTGGTCATAATAAGTAAATGTTTAAAAAAAACTTATAAGTTGTTCTAAGCTTATTTCCATTGTTTATTTTGATAAATCCACTCATGGAGCTTTAAGAACAACTTATTTAAAGTTTATATGGAATTTACTCTTGTTTTTCTCCATGATAGAAAGAACCTATACAAGATAAGCTTAGATTAATAAACTGAAAACAACGTATAACTTAAGTCACTAAATAAACTCAGATAAGTAAATCCAAACATACCCTAAACAAACAAATTACCTTAAAATTGATGTTTGAGTTAGAACCAAGGACAAGTTCTGAATATAAGCTTTATATTCATGTACCTTTGGAGAATGGCGAGAAGAGGATTGTATGAAGAAGATGACGGAGGAGTTTGTAGGCGCCGGTGAAGAGGCGAAGGAGACGGAGAAACGAACTAACGAAGGTGACGGTCTGACGGAGGTGACGAAGGTGACGGAGGTGACGGAGGTGACGATGGCGGTGGCCGGTGGGTGAACTGAAGTGAACGT